TTCAGAGAATGTAAAACTAATTAAAATGCAATATAAACTGCATGAATTAAACAAATATTAATGAAACCACAGATTCATTAATGAGCGGTGGATTAATTGGACGCAGCAGCTGAGATATTGACATGATGTTCTCCGGTGGGAGACCAACAGCAATTCATGACGACTGAAGCATTTTGTGGCCTGTAGGACAAGTTTTCTGCTTTTTCTGTCTAAAATACTGACCGAATGATAAAATAAGGCCCAAACCTCTGGGTGTTTTAAACCAGCAAACCAGACCGGCTTTGAGCTGTTGACAGCCGCAAAAAATAAAGCTAAATAAATAAACAAATAACTACAACAATTAAATAAAACATCTGATAAATGCTTCACTTTGAGCTGTTGATATCTGAAAAAAAAAAAAAAAAAAAAAAAAAAAAAAAAAATATATATATATATATATATATATATAAAATGCTTGGCTTGACTGTTGTCTGTGAAATATAGCAAAATAATTGAATAAATATAATTAAAAAGAACAAGATTAAAAAACACCAAATATATATATATATATATCATTTGATATATGCAAAAACAGCAAAATAATTGAATATATAAATTAAAAACAATATTAAAAAAATCTAAATTATTTTAATATTAACATTAGATATTTGTAAAATTAGCAAAATAACTGAAATAAATTAAAAACAACAATAAAATAAAAAAAATCTATAAAATGCTTTTATCAACATGATTATCTGCAAAAATAAAATAATTGAATAAATGATAATAAAAAACAATTAAAATAAAAAAGCTAACATTTGATATCTGTAAAATTAGCAAAATAACTGAATTAAAAACAACAATAAAATAAAAACTGCAAAAAATTATTTTAATATCAACATTAACTATATGCAAAAATAGCTAAATAAATGACTAAATAACTCAAATGAAAACATCGGCATGCTTTGGATATCAACTTTTGATATTTGCACACAATTAACATATTAATAATCCTAAATATAAATGCAAAATTAATTAAAAAATAAAATGAAAACCAAATATAATTGCGATAAAATGTTTGAGGTGTTGATATCTGCAAAAAAAAAAATATATATATATATATTGATTGAAATAGATATTGACATTATTTTCTCCGGTGAGAGACGAACAGTAATTAATGATCATTAGTGAAATTTTGGACTCCAAGATGAGCAGGAGATTTCACTGATTATCATTAATTACTGATGAATGTCAGTACATTCTGATCTGATCGGCTCTATAATCTTCATCATCATCATCAGTCCCAGTCCTGCTAATTATCAGATGAATCTGAACGCTGTTGCATGTGTGAGCTCGTATTTTCACACTTAACATGATGCTGATAATATTTCACACAGAGCGCTCGTGAAGACCTGCATCTGTTCTTACTGTCGTTCAGTGAATCTATGAACCGCTTTCTCCTGACCCTGAGAGGAATCAAATCTCCACAAAACGGCTGGAAAATAAAATCTTATTTATTCACTCTCAGAAATAACATTAGGCTGGACAGCAGACGGAAGTAAACCGATGCTCTCTATTAGAGCGAAAACCACTGAAGATCTGCTCCCATTCAGAGACAAAACAAGCCTGAAAATCAAAACGCAGCGTCCCGATGGACTCCTTCACACATTTTCAGTCCTACAGGACCGTTTTTTCTGGCTAATCAAATGAGCCCTAAACTTTAGAGTGTTTGAAATCAGTAAACCAGACTGGCTTTGAGATGCAAAAAAACTGCAAAAAAATAAATAACATACAACAACAAATAAATAAATTAAAAACAACAACAAAACAATATTTCATATCTGAAAAAAGAAGAGCTAAACAGACAAATAATAACTATGAATTGTTATAAACTGTCTAACATTGAGCTGGTATCTGCAAAAAAATGAATTAATAAATTAATTAAAAACAACAACAAAACTGCAATAAAATGCTTGTGATATTTGCAAAATACATAAATAAAATTGAAAACTGAATTGTTATAAACTGTCTAACTTTGAGCTGTTATCTGCAAAAAAAAATAAAAAAAATAAAAATGTAAACCATACTGTCAAAAAAATGTTAGTTCTGTAATATTAATTTTCTGTCTAGAACAGTTGTGTATGACATGAGCAAGAGTGAATTAGTACTGCATCTCTGATACTAACACGTGTGAATGAAACAAACACCACGGGTGATTCTCACATTTACCTTTATTAACACAATTACACAACAAGATTTATTATCCAGCAACAGCATTAAAGCACAGCTTGATATAGTGAATGTTGTACCGTTATTTCCCACACATACACACACACGAGTCTTGAGCGTTTCACTTCTAATCTACAGATAAAGCATTTGTATTTATGTCCATTTATACAACGATTCACGCCAGAGAGAGAGAGAGAGAGAGAGAGAGAGAGAGAGAGAGAGAGAGAGAGAGAGAGAGAGACAGAGAGAGA